AGAGAGAGAGAGAGAGAGAGAGAGAGAGAGAGAGAGAGAGAGAGAGAGAGAGAGAGAGAGAGAGCGTGATGGGGATGAAAATGATGGTCGTCTATGGATGGGATAGCGCTGGCAGGAAAATATAAGCAGAGGAGGAGAGACGAAAGAGAAGTAAAACGCAGTGTGAGGTGGGAGTACGCTTGCGGAGAAACGGTAGAGCCCTACTGTAGAGGTCTCATTGGCTTGCTGAGGGCGAGGTAACAGGAAGAAGATATAGTCATGCCGATCCCAGCAAACTTCGAACTCGAATGTAGTCTATCTAGTAGCCATAGGAATCCCTAGGAAGGGGTAGGTAGGGAAAGCGAGGTGTGGGAGAGAGGGTGGGAGGGAGAAAGCAGGAAGACTGGAAGGTATAGCTTCATCTTGCATAGCAGGAAAGTGGGGAGAAAGAAGAAATCGAGGGCACGAAGGACGCGTAAATTTAACCCAAAACAGAAGGATGAAGGCAGGGAGTGGAGTAGGGGAAGAAGAGAGGGTGGGGATAAGAATAGGAGGGAAGGAATTCATGGAGGGGGGGTGCAGAGCAGAGGAGGAAAGTGGGGAGAAAGAATTGGAGGGTGCAAAGGGACGTACAAGTCTATTTGATAGACAGAAGAGGAAGACAAGGGAAGGATGGAGGGAGGGAGTGGAGGACGTGAAGAAGAGGGTGGGGATGAGAAGAGGAGGGAGGGAATTGATAGAGGAGGGATGGAGGAGAGCTCGTGACCTCGATGATCAGATGTAAAGAAGGCGGAAGTAGTAACAAAAAAATGAAGAGGAGGAGATCGATTGATTGTGTCCATCAGGACATCCGGTGAAATTGGAGTGATGCAGAGAATGAAGAAGATTAGTATGGCCCCTGGGCAAGGTTGACAGGCATAAATTGACAAATGAAAAAGAAGAAGAAGAGGGAAAAAAAGGCAAATCGATTGACTCTCAGGAGGGAGGGGTTACGGAAAACAAAAAAGAAGAGGAACAAAAAAGAGAGGGAGGGGAGGGGAGGGGAGGGGAGGGGACATGCTCGAGATTGATTGACGATCGAGCACATTAAAGATTGGGATGCGTAGTCCACATGTTTAGGAACACTTGTGGTCTTGCTAAGAAGGTAAATGGAGTCGAAGTGAACTGGGCGATGGAGGGAGGGAGGGGGGAGGGAGGGAGGGAGGGAGGGAGAAGGGAGAGGGGGGAACGAAAGAATTGTTTCAGTATTTTGCTGGTTTGTCCTAATAAGATGTTTTATCCTTAGTTTCTTCGCAAAAAAAAAAAAAACAAGTGCGCGCGTTGGTGTTGCTCCCCACCAATGGCACTCTGGTTCGTCGCTCATAAACAAAAAAGAAAAAAAAAGGAAAAAAAGGGCGCTGGGCCAGAGGCCGGTTCGACAAAAAAGATGAGGAGGAGAAGAACGAGAAGAGGAGGGTGAGAAGAAGAAGATTATGGGGGGGGGAACAGGACGAGGAGGGAGGAGGCAACGCAGCCGTTTGTGACGTGCACGCCACGCGCGCCCCTGGACGAGCCCGCAACAAGCACTCGTGCACACGGGGGGAGAGAGAGAGAGAGAGAGAGAGAGAGAGAGAGAGAGAGAGAGAGAGAGAGAGAGAGAGAGAGAGAGGGTGGCAGGGGTGTAATGGGCACCAGTCTGCTCATCTGGACAACCGAATGGGCGATTACTGTCGGTGACTGTCATCTATCTAGAATCCCAGCTCTTCGCTTTTCTTTGGGGGGGGAGAGAGAGAGAGAGAGAGAGAGAGAGAGAGAGAGAGAGAGAGAGAGAGAAACAGAGAGAGAGGGTGGCAGGGGTGTAATGGGGGGGAAAATGGGCACCAGTCTGTTCATCTGGACAACCGAATGGGCGATTACTGGGGGTGACCGT